CACCAGTTCAGCCCCACTAGTACTTCACTAAACGTCAGCTGTACGGCGACAGCAACGCGCCGGTGTATTTGTGGGATTGGGTTTGTATTTGTAGGGGTTGGGAGGAAGTGGGTTTTGACTGTAAAGGCCCTCCTTAACGTCTTCCGTCCGTTTTTTGGCAGGATGAAGCAGGAATCCCGGGTATACTAGTTGGAGTTTCAGTGGACGGACAGGAAGTCTGGTCAGAAGGTCAGTATATGGGAGTAGCGGTCGTGCGTGCGGTTGGGAAGCGATGGAAGTTTTGAGAATGAGCAGTTCAGACACAGGGATTTAACGCATTCCATGTCCCATCTCCGGACAGGGGGCACAAACAGGTGCCTTGGGAGCATGAAGTGATGATTTCTTTAGTAAACAATAATTGCCAGGAATCGGTAATTTATTAACGTTCTGATTGTGCTAGTGTGTAGCAAACAGTTTTGTTTGAGAACCTTTCTCCCGTTGTTTGTCACATCAGTCTTTGCATATACTTACACTCCGGGCACGGAGCTGTACAATGCTCTGGTAGGATTGTGCATAGGAGGTGATGAGCTGTTCTCCCCGCAGGATCTTACTTAATAGTCAAAGTAATAATGATTTTCTGACAGTTGTTGCATTAACTTTTATATATGTTTGGAGCAGATGGTAGGTTTTCATTTCTCCTTCGTTGTGCCAGAAGTGAGTTGGAGAGCCTCTAGTACCTTTTGTAGTGTGGCCTAATAAGAAAATTGTGCTAGAAACTTAATCCCAACTCAGGTAGCGTTTCTTGCCTCAAATTTCCTGGCAATGAACACAGAAGTTTTTATATTACATCGGCGGAATCCCTTCCTTGACACGCAGGAAAGTGCCTGAGGGAACTAGTGCCAGGTTTGTGGTTTATCACCAGGACTGCCAGATCCAGTAGCAAGACAGCTACTTGTGGGAGGATAAGCCTTGGCAGAGCTTTCTGTACCCTGCTGCCTGTGGATACAGAGAGCAATGCTGCCTTGAGTAAGGCAGCTGGGAGGTGGGTAACATTGCTCTAGCAGACTTCTGGTTCATTTTGTTGCCCTCCTCCCTTCTTTGTAGGGGGGGAAATAGGAGCAGGTTTAAGTTGCATGTGTTCTGTGACCACGATACTGAACCTGCTTTCTTGCTAAACTGATGGGAGCAATTTGAGATTTGGAAGCTATTTTCACTGAGGCATACAGTATCTGTATTCACAAGCACCGTGCAAGCACTTGGGTGTCAGCTTTGCATAAAGGGGTCTTGGGTGATTGACATGTCATTTTTTATTTCTTGTGTTTTGGCAAGGTGTTTTTTTCCCTGAGTAGTTCATTATTACACTGCAGTTTGATGTAGACAGGCGTAGACTCATAGAATCACAGATTGGTTTGTGTTGGAAGGGTCCTTAAAGCTCCTCCAGCTTCAACCCCTGCCCCGGGCAGAGACACCTTCCACTAGAGCAGGTTGCTCCAAGCCCCTGTGTCCAACCTGGCCTTGAACACTGCCAGGGATGGGGCAGCCACATGAATTGCTGGCAGGCCTTGCTCATACTGAGAAGTGCAAATATGTCATTACTGCATTTCAGTGCGTTTTGTGCTGCAACATCACTTGCACAGTTTCTTCAAACCAAGCTCAAACTGAAGGCTAGTATGGAGCTTATTAATTCCAGTTCTTGCTACCAGGCTTGTGGGTTGGTTACAGGGGAAAACACTGTTATGGGGACACTTAAGCTATCATGTAATTGAAGTCGTGCTGAGTGATGTTGAAACATAGTGCGTTACATGACTGTTCTGTGAAGCTTTGCAGCTTAGGTAACTGCTATGAATTTGTGAGTGATTTCCTTTCTCAATTTCTGTATTGATAAAATAAGACCTTTTACTGTTTTAACCATTAAATCAGAACAATATAAGGAATATTTGTGATTTTCAGTTATTTTACCGTCTAGATTTTAGTTTCTCATTTTTCTACATTGAATATTTGACCTCAGGGAGTGTAGATTTTGGCTTACACTTCAGTTTCATTTATCATTAGGTTGGTCTGTAATTTTAATCAGTAATTTGGGATGCCCATTGGCCAAAACAATGGGTTTTGATTAACCTACTACATTAAAATCTTATTGATGTAATTGAAGCAGGAGCAAGGGTAGTCCAATTCTTCATGTCCCTGTTTAGCTAGAGAAAAAACCCAGGAAGAAGCCAGTAAATCTATTTCATTGCAAACAATTAATTCAGCATGTCTCCATGCAAAATATTTACACAGTGTTTTTATCTTCTTAAAGGTTTGGGTTATGCTGATGTAGAGAATCGTGTAGTATGTAAACCAGAGACCATCATGCGGATTGCTAGCATTAGCAAGTGTCTTACAATGATGGCTGTTGCTAAATTGTGGGAAGAGGGGAAACTGGATTTGGATGCTCCAGTGCAGAAATACGTCCCTGAATTTCCAGAAAAAGTCTACGAGGGTGAAAAGGTATGTGACTGTTCATTGGTAACACTGGTTTGGGTTTCTGTTCCTGTCATTGCACAGCCATCTGCGTACAGGTGCCTGTATCTGGACCCATTCCTGTAAAGTGGGTGTTTGCTGCCTGAAAAACCAATGCTGGAAATCTGGATCTTCAGTTTTATATCAACTGTGTAGTGTGTGCATATATATGTATCTATTTCAAGTGGGTTTAATACGTGATATTTAAAAGGCCTTAAATCTTCGTCTATTCCTCATCATGCTGAATTTTACTTTTCTGGTGATTTAGTGTGCATCGTATCTTTAATGACTAGAGCTCACATTTAAATGCTGTCTTTTCTACCTAGGTCACTATTACGACAAGACTATTAGTCTCACACTTGAGTGGGATTCGTCACTATGAAAAAGATATTACAAAAGTAAAGGAAGAAAAGGAAAAGGCAAACAGAGCATTAAAACTAACAAAACCCTGTCAGGATAAAGAACAAAAAGAAAAAGAGGGCAAAGGGATTGAAAAGACTGATTCTGTCAAACCAAGGAAAGAACATGAGGGTGAGGTAAAAAGCCAAAATTCAAAACCTGGCAGGAGAGACAAGGAATTTGAGCAAGAAGAGTATTATTTGAAGGAAAAATTTGAAAGTGTGATTGAATCACTGAAGATATTTAAAAATGATCCTTTATTCTTTAAACCAGGTGAGTTTCTATTAATTTAGACCAAAATGTGCTCAGGATTTTATCAATTCAACTTTAGGTAACACTGGTATATAGATACCTTTACCGATCTACTGACTTAAGAATTATGCTCATATAGATTTGGATGCTGGAGAGGGGCTCTTCATCAGGGATGGCAGCAGTAGGACAAGGGGTGATGGGTTCAAACTGAAACAGGGGAAGTTCAGGTTAGATATAAGGAAGAAGTTCTTTACTGTGAGGGTGCTGAGGCACTGGCACAGGGTGCCCAGAGAAGTGGTAAATGCTCCGTCCCTGGTAGCGTTCAAGGCCAGGTTGGACAGAGCGTTGGGTGACATGGTCTAGTGTGTGGTGTCCCTGCCCATGGCAGGGGGGTTGGAACTAGATGGTCTTAAGGTCCTTTCCAACCCAAACCATTCTGTGATTCTGTGATCTACACCATAATCCAGCCAGTTCAAAATGTCATGTAGCCAAGACTTAAAAGGTAATACAAGAGGGTCTCAGATAAGAAGAGAAAGTGGGACCTCAGGTAGAGTTCCTGGGAGAAAAGTCTAAGTAATGCAGTAAGTGCCATGAAACATGCCAGTTACTGAATTTGTCAGTGCTAAAGCAAACATTTGAGTGAGATACTAATCCAGAGCTAAAACATTCTACAGAAAGACCATAGAAACACATAATTGTTAGGGTTATTTACTACTGGAATTATGTCAGTTAGTTCTACAGAGGAATTTGAGGAGTTTCAGGTGTACGTTCTAAATGAGTCAGGTTAAAAGGGAAATGATATCCATTGCTGATAAACAGTAAATAAATGTGCATTTAAAGAGAAGGGAGTAGGAAGGGGGAGAAGTTAACCCCATACCATCTTGGAGAGTTCTAGGAACCCCTTCAAGTAAGAGAGCAGTCTGGACTGTAGGCAGTTTGGCAGCTTGGTTTGTAGATGTGTCATAAAAGACATTAGTGCAATAATGAAATAAAACCAGAACGTTTTGTAAATAAAATATATTGTCTTAAATAATATACGTGTTAGTGTTCATATAATCTTACAGGACATTCTAGGACTAGAAAACCAGAACTAGAAACACTTTGATAAAAGTTATGAAGAGCTTTGAAAACCTTGAGCGAGTTCCACCCTTGTCTTTCCGTCTGTAGGGTGTAGACACACAAACAAGTCACAGTAGGCGAGCGTCTTTTAAGAAGTAATTTTATGCTGTGCTCCAGCTTTCCGAATCCAGATGTCCTTATTAGCAGGGGCATGGTAAATCTTGGGGAAAGGATGTTAAATGTCAGTCTTCACATCTTGGCAGGAAACCTGGTTGTACCTGCAGATCCCTGGAAAAATTTTAGCCCTGTTCTCTGAGCTACCTGCACTTAGCAAGCATCTGTGTCAGCTGCAGTGCAGAAATTCCTGGGACCCAGTATCATAAACTTGTGATTCACATCATATTAAAATAAGGGTGCAGGGGGACTCTTTCAGTTGATTATTCATTGTTATATATAGTTTTATTTGTACATATGATTACTTAAATTTTACCCTTCAGATTCCATTTAAGCATAATGCAGCTAACTTGTTCTTTTCACCTCTTTTCTCATTGTGTTTCTTCAAGGTAGTCAGTTCTTGTATTCAACGTATGGCTTTACTCTATTAAGTGCTGTTGTGGAGAGAGTTTCAGGACAAAAATTTACAGATTATATGTTAAAAATGTTTCGTGATTTGGATATGCTGTCAACTGTACTAGATGACAATGAGGCAATGATATATAACAGAGCAAGGTAAGCAAGGATGAAACTTCTCTTTTTCCACAACAATTGTTGCTCTTTCTATCTTTATTAAGCTGACTGAATTAAGAATGTGGGATTTATCCCCCTCCCCGCTTTTTAAATGAAGTGGCTTGTGTTATTTCCAAGTTAGTCATGTAACTGATTTTATGTGAGAGTTACAGCATTGGTTCTGTAATTAGCAGCTACAATTACAGAATAGGAGATAAGTATTTCCTGTTAGAAGTGTATATATGTGGGGAGTGGCAGGGGTGACTATGAAGTTTGCATTTATTTTGGGTACAGATAAGCAGGTAAATGGAAATAGAGTAAAATAAAGGAGTAACTAGGAGATTATGTTAGACTATATAGTTACCTTGGGTTTTTTTAATATACTGACTTTTTAGGAGTTCGATGGAAGTGTAATGGTCTCACAGTAACACAAGGTTTTCATAAATTAAATTGTGGTATCAGTTTTAACCAGAACTGAAATTGTGTTTAACGCAGAACATGCTTTACCAATTGATCTCTTTTTATTAACTTAAACTGCAAAAACCCCACCCAGATAAATTTCTGTAACTGGATAATGCATTCCAATATAGTTTCTTTTCCTTCTCTCCAGTCCTGTTTTATCAACCCACCTGAACTGGCTCTGAAATTGATTAATTGAGTGACCTGTTAAATTTCGGTGCAGGAGAAGAATTCTAATTAAATCACAAAAGCAGGTTATGGAGAAAGTCTCATAAAAATGCGAGTCAAACTTCTTAAAAGTTTGCCTTCTAAAATGCTCTCAAGGAAATAGAATCATAGAATAGTTAGGGTTGGAAAGGACCTTAAGATCATCTAGTTCCAACCCCCCTGCCATGAGCAGGGACACCACACACTAAACTATGTGGCCCAAGGCTCTTGTCCAGCCTGGCCTTGAGCACCTCCAGGGTTGGAGCATTCACAACTTCCTTGGGCAACCCATTCCAGTGCCTCACCACCCTCACTGTGAAGAACTTCTTCCTTAGATCTAATCTAAACTTCCCCTGTTTAAGTTTAAAGCCATTACCCCTTGTCCTACCACTACAGTCCCTAATGGAGAGTCCCTCCCCAACATCCTTGTAGGCCCCCTTCAGATATTGGAAGGCTGCTATGAGGTCTCCATGCAGCTTCTCTTCTCCAGGCTGAACAGCCCCAACTTTCTCAGCCTGTCTTCATACGGGAGGTGCTCCAGCCCCTTTACCATCCTCATGGCCCTCCTCTGGACTTGCTCCAACAGCTCCATGTCCTTTTTATGTTGAGGACACAGAACTGTACCCAATAATCCAAGTGAGGTCTCACAAGAGCAGAGTAGAGGGGCAGGATCACCTCCTTTGACCTCCTGGTCACGCTTCTTTTGATACAGCCCAGGATACGGTTGGCTTTCTGGGCTGCAAGCACAGAAATCAATCACAAATGGAAGCTACTGTCTTGGAGCAGTCACCTGAGACTTCAGCTCAGTGTCTGATAATCATCAGGTAGCTGTAGGGTTCCTCTTTCTTAAAACACTTTAAATCCAGTACAGGGATTTAAGAAAAGTCCTGTGCTGGCTGACCTATAGATTTCTGTCGCACCTTTTACTTGTAATTGCCTTTACTCTTAGTATATCCTAAGAGTAAGTAGAAGGATTAGTTTTAGTGATAATAAGCTTCTAACCTAAGAGGTCACCTTAGTTTTTGTTTTCCCATCTGAATTTCTTGTTGATTTTTCTGCAAGAAAAATATATTTTATAAAGTTCTCGAGTTCCACAAGCACAAGCTGATACATGCTCAGTTTGCTCTTTTAAGGTGGAGCAGCTTAAAATAGTTGTGCACAGTGTCAGAGAATGACAAGTTGAATTTTCTTGAATTCCAGGTGTTACGTGTACAACAAGAAGGGACGGCTGGTGAATGCGCCGTACGTGGACAACTCTTACAAGTGGGCTGGTGGAGGCTTTCTCTCATCAGTAGGTGACCTTCTGAAATTTGGAAATGCCTTGTTGTACAGTTACCAAGCCGGACAATTTAAAAACACTAGAGGCAAACTTCTTCCTGGGTACCTCAAACCAGAAACGGTCACAATGATGTGGACACCAGTGCCAAAAACAGAAGTATCATGGGACAGGGATGGTAAATATGCAATGGCTTGGGCTGTGGTAGAGAAAAAACAACAGTGTGGCTGTTGCAGGCAGCAGAGACACTACGCATCTCATACGGGTGGCGCAGTGGGGGCAAGTAGTGTCCTCCTAATTCTTCCTGAAGAGCTGGACTCTGAAGCTACAGATACTGGGCTAGTGGCACCACCTAGAGGAGTAATTGTTAGTATTATCTGTAATATGCAATCGGTTTCACTCAACAGCACGGCCTTAAAGATTGCAAGGGAATTTGATAAAGAAAAACGGGCACAATATACAGGTTAAAAAAGGAAAATAAGTAACTTGTAACTGGACTGACTGCACAGAAACATGAAAAACCAATGGAGAAGGCTGTAATTAGACTCTAAGATCACTACATGAAGCAAAAGCATCAACAATTCACTTAATTACCTTCTGCTAGTGGTGCTAAACTTACATCTAACTGGAATTCATCTCTCAGGGAAGTTCCTAACTTACAGAAAGGAGAATGTAACAGTCAGATTTGACTTCCTGTAGTACCTGTGTAAACCATCATTATGTTAGCAGGTTTTTTCCTCAGCCAGTCAAGCACTTGACGAAGATTAAAACCAATAGCACTGGTTTCTCACACTGAGAAGTGACAGGTGACCTACCTTAAATGTTAAACTTTTGAAAGATTACACATCTTGATTTGAGCACACAAAGATGTAGTTTGTTATTCTCAATGTTCCCGTCTGCCAAAACTGTTCAGTATTGCTTTTGAAAGAAAACTGGGTTTACTGTTGAGTTTTTGTATTTTGTATTTGGTCAAAAAGAAAAAAACCACAAACAACAACCCCCAGATCTCGAAGCTACCTCCAGAATGCAGATTTACACCAGAAGTGTGCTTCTGTCAGAGCTGTGCAGTGCTCAGAATTAGGAAAAATAAGGCTAGAGTAAGGTAAATAAATCTTCCTGTTATTTAGATGTCCTCTCTTCCACTTTTATTGGAGACAGAGAATGTGTGAAACTAGTTTACTGTGAAATATTTCCGCAGTTGGATGTACCTGAATAGCACAACATGGTGAGCTGTCAAACTGTCCCATTGGTTTTGAACAATACACAGGCTGACTTTGGTAGCCAGAAATGACACTGTTTTCTATAATGTAGATATTCCTTGAGATACAGGAATCGGGAACTCAACAAAATTTAAAGCCCATTCTTGAAGCCTCTTAGACTTAGAATCACAGAATCAACCAGGTTGGAAAAGACCTTTAAGCTCATCAAGTCCAACCATCACCACAGCACTGCGAAGGCCACCACTAACCCCTGGCACTGAGGGCCTTGGCTACATGGTTTTTGAGCACTTCCAGGGACGGTGACTCCAGCACTGCCCTGGGCAGCCTGTTCCAGTGCCGGAGCACTCTTTGGGGAAGGAATTTTCCCTAATATCCAATCTGAATTTCCCCATGCATAGCTTGAGGCTGTTTCCTTTTGTCCTCTTGCTTGTTACTTGGGAGAAGAGACCGACCCCACCTCACTACAACCTCCTTTCAGGTAGTTGTAGAGAGTGAAACTTTGAGAGGGTTTATGGAAAACCATATTTTTTCCCACTTGGAATCATGCCTCAAGATGTTAGTTTTGCACAAGGTTGAAGGAGAAATCTTGATGAAGTTCCAAAGAAGCATTTTCTAATCTTCAATTTTACTTTAGGAATATAACAACATCCAAGTATGTTATTTTTGTATATTCCATCATAGCATGGAAGATCTCTGCTATCTCAAGATTTGCCCCTATGCCACTTTACCTGCAGTTGCATCAGTATTTCCAGGCTGAGACAAAAGAAAATAGCCTTCCGAAAAGGTTTGAATACTTTTGTCCCTGCACTGTTCAGCAGCTCTGCTGCTCTGAATTTAATGAGCAGGATGTCTTAGCTAACAGCCACCAAGTTAGGGCTTTTAGTATTCACTTCATAGTTGTGATCTGCCCTGTGATGAAACACGCTGTCATCTCTGTTCTCAGTATGCCTGTGATACCATTTATTACCTAAGGCTGACAAACATGGAAATTTAATCTTTAGAGGTGTGTTTTACCTTCACTTGTAATTGAAGCTAGTAAGGCTGGTTTAGTACTCTTAACTATCATGATTCTTGTGCCTTAAAACAGTGAAAGCTTACAGATAAACTATTTGCTTGTGTTTTCTGGCCCACTCAACAAAACTTCACTTTTTTTATTCATTAATGAGTTGTCTTTATCTCTAGAATATCAGATCAGTAGAGACAACAGAGAGAGCCTTTTTGAACACACTTTCATTTGGTCAGGCAATAAATCAACTGCTCTTTCACTGAAGTTACTGATACTGTTTGACAGTTCCAATACAGAAGTACTAGAGGTGAGTATCTTCAGTAGCAACTCTTTTTTTCCAATCTTGAGCACCTACTAGCTGGGTAAGCTTGCAGCAGCAGAAGTCACTGCCCGTTTTACACTGGGAACAAGAGTAAGTAGTTCCGAGTTGTTTCCATGTTGGAAGAACACATGAATAGAATGGACCAAATATAAAAGCTCAGAAAAGTAGTACTTGTTTTAGGATTTAGAACATACTTTTCTTGTATGATGCATCTGTTTTGCAAATGTCATTTTGCATACTTAAGAGACTTACAGAGAGGGAACTTGAGAGGGAAACAAGTTTCCCTCACTGACCATTGTGTTTGGGTATAGAGATTGAGAACCTACAAAGCACAGGTTTACCATTATGCTTGTCTGGATATGACCAAACACTAATATATGTAAGTTCAGGTTCGATATAAGGAAGAAGTTCTTCACAGTGAGGGTGGTGAGGCACTGGAACAGGTTGCCCAAACGTGGTAAATGCTCCATCCCTGGCGGTGTTCAGGGTCAGGTTGGACAGAGCCTTGGGCAACACGGTTCAGTGTGAGGTGTCCCTGCCCATGGCAGGGGGTTGGAACTAGATGGCCTTAAGGTCCTTTCCAACCCAAACCATTCTATGTACGAAAGTGAGTAATACTACGAAGTGTCTATGGTGCTTCTAACACCAAGATGTTAACGACAGTGCCTCACTCCCCTCACGGAATTTGTTTAGCCACCAACTTTTTAAATGCATACCATGTTCTTCATATTGTAGTTTCAAAACCTTCTGGTTTTTTAAGAATCTTCTGACACATAGACAGTATTGGAGATGCTATGCTGTCTACATTTCATCTTCCAGTACCTGGAACAAAATGGACTTTTTCTGATTTGGTATTTACTCAGTCATGAGTTCTTACCTTTTGGGTGTAGAGGAAGAGAAGGCAGGGATATGGGAGACGAAGAATCAGTGTGGCCTTAGCATATGTATCGAGGTCACAAGTGAATTAATATTACTATGTTGATCTTTAGTCTGAAGCCAGTTATTTGATGGACTGGCACTGAGTGTGGGAAACCGATCAGATAAGAGCAGCTTTCATGCTAAACTTGCACTTATATTAACCTTCATTGTGAAAACACAGTATGGCGCTAACATAAAACTATGCTTTCCTTAACAGGCATGTATATTAAATTGGTGCATCTATTTCTGTATCAAACACCTATTTTTTGCATCTGGCAATTATGTGTTCTGCTGTTTGAATTAACTGAAATAAAACTTAATACAATGAATTGTTGTATCAGGTTTAGGGTTGTTTTTTTAATTTATTTACTAGACACATACAATTTTTAGAAGTCTATTCTTTAAAAAGAATACAGATTAAATAGGAATTCCCAACAATAATTAGCTTACAAGACACCAGATACTTTGAAAGAGATGTCGATACATAACTTGAGCTATTATCTATTAAGATAAGACACACGTAAGACTTGGTTTGAATGTTTTCTCATGGCTTAAAAAAAGAAAATCTGCTTTTTAACAGCCATTTAGAAAACTTATAAAAACTAAATCCCTGTTTCCTTGTTGCAAAAAGGTAATTATTTAATGTCAGTATTTAATACTAAAATTATACGTGTGTTTGCTGTAGTATTTTGGGGGGGGGTTAACGGCTGGATACCATTCACAGCTGTTAATGTACTTTGTGTCAGTGATAATAATGACAATAAGTCATTATTGTTGCTCATATACCATATGCCTTCTCTATACTAAATGCTTTCAGTGTTCTGCGAAAGACTTTTTTTTTCTCATATAGAAATCTCCGCACAGACTACCAAATGCACGTTCAAGACCAGGTTAGAGGGAAGAGGAAAAAACTGCCCAAACAAAACAGAAAACCAGCTGAACATAAGTGAGCAACTTTGTATTTTCATTTGTCATCACATCACTTGTGGTGATTGATAGAGGGACTAAAGCAATGTTGAAAGCAAATGAGCCATGTTAAATTATTCAGCCTTTGCAACACTTGCAGTAGTGAAGGATACAGAATGCACTCTTAGAGCAGTCTTCTGTCACCATACGCATTATGCTGCTGCAGTTGATGTTAAACAAGGGGAAGGAAGCAGCAATTTCAAGGGTTTCATATTAAATGACACCACCCAATTAACAATGCATTGTTTAAAAATAAAAATACAAAAATAGAGCTCAGTTGTCTGCAAAGCCGCAGGAAACGCTTGCACTTCAAATTATTTATTGAAAAAGAGATTCCAGCTCATTAGTAGCATGTAATCTTCTACAAAATCAATCGTAATTACATTGTATTAACAGGCATTTTTAAACTGGTAAGGCTTTCAGGAGCACAGATCCAAAACCACATGCTCAAGTGTTCAGTGTTGCTTTCTTCTAAATGAACAGCCTGTGAAGAAATCACGTGGATATAGGGATGAACAGTCCTCACGTTGTTAGGCTGCCGTGCAGAACTGCCCACCCAACCTTAGCAGGAAAACTCATGCAATAAATTTAAACTTCACGTACCATAAGAAGTGAAGATTTAGAACTTTGAGTCTTCTCTAACTCAGCCATAACAACACGGCTGTTGTATAATTCATCGTAAAATAAGGCCAAGGTGTATGATTTCTTTTCTTCCAGATGCCTGTTAAATTTCAGTCTACTGTTCCGTCCCTTAGTGGTACAAACCCCAACTCTAAGCGATTTGCAAGATGAGTGTTCCAATATAATTTTCAAAATCAAAGCTAAAATGTTTGCAAGCTCTAGATACATAAATGCATTTTTATGTAAGTGGAATATTTAGGCTGCTAAATATTGCCCCTTACCTTCTGTTAATCTGGCTTTACCCCCAGTAGGCTGACACAGGACAGTTGAGCATCCTACACACAGAACTACTGTCTGAGCATGGCTGAATACAGTGGTGATCTTGTAGCATCCTGGAAAACAGCATGATCAAACCTTCCATTGAGTATTTCTAGCATGATTTTTTCTATGTGTAATTGAACCACATACTCTAAATATACTTGTCCAAAAAGGCATCTCTATTTCATTCCACAGCAAACTGAGTAAAACAAATCAAAACATGATTACTGTGATCTGAACCACTTGCTTTTACTAACATGCATATGAGAGCAAGTTAATTAACTGAACCCAGTACGAAAATCAACGCAGCCCAATAGCTGCAAGCCCTAATTTGCCTGTGATATGTCTCCTGCAGAAGAGTCAAGGAGAACGAGATTAGCCTTCTCTGCTGACTAGAGCCACCCACCTAGCTAAGGAAATATTTAACTTGTAATAGTGGGACATTGCTGGTGACAGTCTGGCAGCTGTGAATATAAACACTGCTGTTCAAATCTGTGTTTGCTTTCTGTTAATAATGGGTACACTTACGGCATGTGCTTGGCTGCGTTCTACAAAGCTAGCATCATACCTGAGCAAGACTTGCACAGAACAACTTCACTACTTCCAGACGCAAGAAGAGGCATCAGCAACACTTGATCTACAACTTCTAAATTATATTACTTAAAAAAGAATGAAATTGCTGTCACGCATGGCTTAGACAAAGAGATTTCACTGCTTTCATGTTTTTCCCCTAGAAGTGTTTTTAATTACCCACAAGGAATTTTTGGAGAGAGAAAATTTGTAAAGGATTTTCTCTAGATGTGGATACACAAAATAGACAAATAGATAAAGGTGAGCACAGATTCTGTTTTCAGAATGTGTGGACCAGAAAAATAAGATAGAACGTATGTTGTGAGGAAGGGCCTCAGAAAGCTCTCAGTGCCTCTTGCTTAGGACTCCTGTCAGTAATGAAGCTCTCCTGCTTTGCTCTCTATGTCCCTCAAACTCAATAACCAATTAATCCAACAACAGTGAAGATAACCAGTGACCTATGGGCCTCTGTTGACATTAACTGTATAGTAGTGTATGAGCGCATGTACACTGGTTTGAAGAAACTTGAAAAAACCCCAAATCAGTGGTTTAGCCTTCAACCATGTGTTTTTAAAAGTAACCACACTGTACTTTCAAACTGTTCTAAGGAATTCTCCTCACTTTTAGATGGAAAACAATGTCTCAGAGCTTCTTAGAAATGTAAGCTACTAAGAAAGAATACGATAAGAAAACCTGAATACAGCAACGATTCCCTACTAGTCAGGATGATCACTCCTGTAAGTCTGCATTTTCTTACTGCTGTAGTCTTCTTATACTGCAGCAGTTACTAGGAAATAAGCACACTTGACAGTTTCTGTGCTTAGACATGGACGTAGCTGTGCTGATGGGAGCAGCTGATTGCTGGTAGAGCATCCTCCAGTGATTGTGCTAGAAAACTCCAGGGTTTAGTTTATAAAAGAGAAGTTGTTTATATAGATGTTTCTGAGCCCAAGTGGTGATGAAAAGCAGAGGCCAGCACCTGTATGTGTGAGCTAGATGTCAGCTTGCTTCTTGATAGCAGCATGTGAAAAAAAGAGTTGTAGTTGTTTTACTTCCTATGTAAAATCCCAGTTGCCTGTGTATATCCTTGTGAAAAGTTTTTACGGATCCTCTTCTAGAGTCAATCAACTTGCAAAAGGAGAAAACCAGTGTTGTCTTCCATTCAAAACTTGAACCATAGATGCTTTAAAGCAAGAAAAAAGCCTACAAGAAATCTAGAGAGGGACTTTCTACAAAGACATATAAGCACATGTCCTTGTAAAGGTCAAGGGGGAATGGTTTTAAACTGAGAGGGGAGAATTAAATTAGATCTTAGGAAGAAGCTCTTCCCTGTGAGGGTGCTGAGGCGCTGGCACAGGGTGCCCAGAGAAGCTGTGGCTGCCCCATCCCTGGCAGTGTTCAAGGCCAGGTTGGACACAGGGGCTTGGAGCAACCTGCTCTAGTGGAAGGTGTCCCTGCCCGGGGCAGGGGTTGGAGCTGGAGGAGCTTTAAGTTCCCTTCAACCCAAACCAGGCTGGGATTCCATGATTTCATCTCATTTCTTATACATGTGAATCTGAGGTGAGTGGGTGGAGTGTGTGTGTTCCTACTTGGTAGGAAAAATGCCAGTCCTCCAGAAAGGAAAATAAAAGCCCTGTTGTTTAAATTCACTCCTGAAAAAGGTTGAAAACACTTACGGTTAAAGCAGACAGAGCAATATATGGACTTATTTTTTCACTACAGAACAGACAAACCACATTTAGATGGGGGAAACAAACAAAAAAATCAGACCTTTAATGCAGATGAACCGTGTACAGGATTAGTTTTAATCCTTTCTGTAAGACAGAATGTAGATACTTACCTGGGCATTTTACATCCATGAAGTAGGAGTTGGGGCTCTGCACAAGCCGTTTCTTCTTGTG